TTATTCAAAGGAGGTGGGTAGTGTGGATAGAAAGCAAAAGCAGAGCCGGTAGGAGGGGTCAGGAGTGCTGGGGGAGGGAGCGCTCCTCAAAACTGCAGCGTCAGCAGCAAGTTTAATTATTGCGTGCAGTCAGTTCATTGAGAAGACATTGGAGCAAGATTTGAAAGAGGTGAGGGAGCTAGCCCCTCGGAGACCTGACGGAAAAGCATTCCAGGCAGGAAGACTAGCCATTCTTAAGGCTTTAAGATGGAGCAATTCCTGATCGGTTCTAGGGAGGGAAGAAGACCGCAGACGGGGGTGACTGCAAAGGGGTCCATAGTTTAGGTGAGAGGAGTAGGAAATGAGACCAGAGATGACAGGAGAACAGGTCACAAAAGATCTTGCAAACCATGTAAGGTCATAGGCTTTTACTCAGAGACATCAAGAGCCGTGGAGGGGTTTTGAGCAAAGGAGTGACTTGACTCACCTGACTTCCCTTAATAAGGTCGCTCTGCCGTTTCGTCCAAACAGACTGGAGAAAGCAGGTGGAGAAGCAGGGAGAGCTGCTGGGAGAGAAGGATGGTGGCTCTGACGAGGCGGGGGCAGTGGAGACGGGGTGAGAGGATGGAGTGAGGGGCAGAGTCGGCCAGCAGGATTTGCCGACAGAGTGGACTATGGTGTGAGAGAGGAAGCGAGGAGCTGAGGCTGATTCCGAAGTTTTTGGCCTTTTGGAAGGAAGGAAAGTTCAACTGAGATGGAAAACTGCAGGTGGAGCCTTGTTTCGGGGAAAAGATCCAAGCTCGGTTTTAGGCACACGGGGTTGAAGATGTTTAAGGGAAGGTCAAGTGTTTAGTCTGGATCCAGGTAAACTCTCTGGACTGGAGGACTGCATTTGGAAGTGGCGCCAAATAAGATTTTCATAGCATGCGATTAGTATGAAAATATAGATGTTATTTAAAAATGCAAAATTATGTGAAATAAAACTGAAGTTTCCCCTTCACTCTCTTATCCAAACCCACTCCTCTCCCCAGCAGTAATGGCTATTAAGGAGCAGTTATGCATTAAGAAACTAAGAAGATTCGGAGTGCTCAACGCACCGCGTGTGAGAACCAGAGCCAACCACTGTTTTTCATTTCCACATGCATCCCACCACATGGGAAAAGTGTTTAGAATTGTCCAGGTATCTTTTATACATACTTTATAGATGTGTACCTTCCTTTTACCCATACAGTAATGTAACTTCCGGAATGGCTACTTTCTACTGTGATGGTGGTGAAGATTTCACAGCTGCTTGGAATATACTTAGATTTGCATGCCTTTTCATGTGAAATAAACTGATTTTTAATTGGTTCTATGTTGCATTTTTTAGCCATTTGGAATGTATCTTAGCTAAGCAGTGCCATCTACTTAAGAATATTATTGATTATAAGGTACACTTTAAGCACCATAGTAATAATTCTCTAGACTCTAAGCTTTCATCTTAAAATAGTACAAAGTTTCTGTACCTTCCAGCAAAAAAGAAAAAGATAACCTTCAGAATTTGAACTAATGCATTTCTGTTTTGTTGAGTTGGCAATTATTCCACATAAGGAAAGTAATGATCACTTCTCAAATATCCAGTTTCTTATGAGTTTAGAGCTTCAGCTGTGATGAAATTCAATCATCTTTCTAGCCCGAGGAGTTTCTTTTTCTCCCCTGAAGTCAAAAAGAAAAAATTAATTGAGAAGGTTTCCCATTGCTTTGTTTGATTTTTTGCAGAGTTCTGTCTGCAACATGTACCTGGCACCTCCACACACATGGATGGCTACGTGACTTATTCCAACTGGCTGCCGGTTTTGCAGGTACTGATCCATCGAGGCAATGGGTAAAGAGGAAAAACCAGGAAAGAGTAAAGCATGCATTCTCAAGAAACTTACAGTCCCACTGAGCTAATAAAAATTTACCTGTAGGGAAACATTACTGTGAGTGATTCTCAAACCAACTGAAGCAAGATAGCTTGCTGTGGGGGAAAAAAGTAACGAATGAATGCTTTCAATTGAAAGTTTACTCTACGAATTTTTCTTGAAACTTTGGCATGACTACTGTCTTTTTTTTTTTTGAGTGAGAGAGAGAGAGAGAGAGAGAGAGATCCATCACACAGCAAAATGAATAAGTCCCAGAAACAATTATTAACAAAAAAAACTGAGGATCAGCTCATCGTACATAGTCCCACCACCAGTTCAATACCTTGATTTTGGGGACACATGAGCTCCTACTTGTCATTTTACTTTGTGTCTCATTTTGCTGATAAAGTATACCTTTTCACGGGATCAAATAAAATGACACCTTGCAAAGAACTGCATCACCTGCACAAATTTGAAATCATATTCTGTACTTTTTGTTCTTCATGAGCAAATGGGTTCAAAGGGCAAAGCAAAGGTTACATCTGACTTCTCTCTCTTCCTCCTCTTCCTCTCCCTTCCCCACCGCCGTCCTCTTCTCCGCCCTCCAGCAGCAGTTTTCCTCCGGGTTCCCTCCCGCCACCTGACTCCGCATTCCACTCTCCCCCACCCCCACCCCCCATTCATACCAGAACAACCCCAATAACCGTCTAGCTGATTCCTGTCCTACCAGATCCTGCCCACTCAAATCTGTCACCCTTCTCACAGACTCACCTTTCTGCAACACAGATCTTCTCCAAGCCCTTTTCCTGTTCAAAATGTTAATAATTCCTTATCCCCCATTGAATAATATCCCAAAGTCCCCATTTAATAACATCCAGAAGTCAGAATCAAATTCTCCAAAATACAATTTCTGGTCTTTGGCTAATATTTGAACGCAACGTTTTAACACACATGACTATGTACAACCAAGCCCTCAAAAGAAATTTGGCAAAAAATTTCTCACACCAATGGGATAAGTAGATCAGTTTACAATGAATGTGAGCTTTTAAAATAACGGTTCTCCTTTAGGAAGTGGTGATCGGTGGCTACTTAAACTTGTTTTCTATTCCCTCAGGGAACAAAGGTGATCTATCTTGATGTCTGTATATTAAGGGTCAGTATTCCCATCACTGAAAAATGGTCAGTTTTTCTTTTTACGGATTGTCCTGTCCCTGGAGGTTCCCTGGAACCCAGACCGCATGTGCTTACTGGGACCGTGGAAAGTCAGAGTGGGCGGGGCTACGAACCCCAACGCTTGCTGTCAAAAGAGAATAGGACTGGCCCTGCTACTTCACAAAGGCCTAACACTGCCTGTCTACTGTATCGTTTGCCGTTAATTATAGGAATTAAAATATGTTCTACAGAAGTCTATCAATATGAACTTCATGCCAAATGATGGTCACCCTGCAGGGGAGCATGACAGAGAGCTGCTCCGTTCTTTCTGTGTTGTTTTACTCCTTATTTTTTAATAAACACATAATACTTTAAGAATCTGGAAAAATGTCTGTTTTTAACAATAAACTTTAAAGTTTTCTTCAAAAAGTCATCTAAACAGGTACCTTTGCAATTTGGTGTTTGTTAAATATTTTGAAAGAGGCTAGAGTGGCTTGTCCCCTCTAATGAGTTAATTTCTAAATGACATCTTTTGGTGCCTGTTAAAAATAGCCACCAGACTCAGAGCTCAGCAATGGGGGTTTGTTCACTCAATCTAATTACTGTTGACTAATTTCAATTTAGAATATTATCTCAACTATTAATTAGTCATTCCTCAAAACAGCCTGAGGGGAGAGATGACTGCACTCACCCGTTTCGAAGCCACAGTGCCCCACGGGAGAGGCAGACGCCCGGGCGCGCTCCTGACCGCCAGGCAGCAGGCCACGGGTCGGGGCTGCCGCACATCCAATAAAAGACACAAGAGTGAAAATCAGAAAGAAAAAACCTCCAGTGTTTCCAATTTGTAAGCACTTGAGCTTAGATTTACTAAAATTTTTATAGCATTGATCAGTCTTGAAAACATTTACAAATGCAACATCAGCTCTATCCTACCACTTTTTACGGCAACCCACGTATAAAATGGGCGGCACCGTGCATATGCTTTTAAAATGTTCACGGATTCCCCCAAATGCACTGACAGAAGTATCACGGCGAAGATTAAGCAATAACCAAACAATAAGTACTTACTAAATATCCACTCTGCACAGAGCTCCGGGCTGGAACTAGGAACAAGGGATGAGGCAAGAAATCACACACCTACCACCACCTTTGCCCCAAGGTGCTCATAGTTTGCTTCATAAAGACACCAGCCTAATACATATGAAACTTAAGAATACTGTAGAAAAAGTTTTCCTTGTATATTCCCAGCTTTAGAGTAAACATTTTTTTCCTACATCTTTCTCCACAAAAACACAAATTTTTTGTAGTCATTTTATTAAAGCTGAAGGTGCTTGCTACACATGTTACTTCAGAAGGTTAGAAAACTGCAGGAATTAGTCCTGAAATTATTTCTTTCATTATTTAAAGAATGCTCTCTTGAACTCTTTCTTTCAAGAGGAAAAATACGGAGGAATAATTTAAGAGAACACATTTCAAATAATTAAAAACTTTTCCAGCTGGCCATGTAAAGACAGCAGTGGTGACGAATGTGCACCATCATTTCCCACTTCACTAAGCCACAGCACGGAATAACTCTCTATGGCCTTCTAAAAGACACCTCTGTCTCTCTCAGATAAGGCATGCTTGATGTTTTTAATGGGAGAGCATTCTCAATACCTTTCCAGGGAGTGTAAATCCTGTTTATACTCTTGTCTGCCCCCATTTATGGCTTCACAAAAATTTAGTCTGTGTTTTGAGCACACACAGACACCTGATTCCCTTTTTTGGCTGGTAGAGCCTCTTCAGAACTATTTGGGCGGGGTGGGGGCAGTGGAAAGTGGCTCTTTCTTCCTTGATCCCAGAGCGAAATCAAAAATGATAAATAACAGACTTAAACGGCCCAGCCTCCTTCACGTCACCTCCGACTCCTCACTCAAAGAGGTACTTGGGACGGCAGGTGGAGTTATAATTATAGATTTTAAAAAAGCCCCATCAGCAGCTGCTGCTCCTGTTTGTTCCCGGCTATAACTGTCACCAGTGGGCAAACTGGCATAAACAGGCCTCCACAAGTGGAAAATCATTTAACCCCTGTCCTTGTCTGGGTCCTCTCAGTGGCCAGAGAACAACAGAAAGGGAATCTGACTGTACACGAGCAAAGGGTGAAACCGAGAGTGCCACCCGGCCTGCGGCTCCTGTTCCAGAGGAGCCTGAAGATCTCCTTTCCCGTCGGAGACTCCAAATCAGATAAATAGGTTAGTGCACAAAGCGTATACATCTGCATTTTAATTCTGACCTCTGCTCTATCTGATCTTTGTTTTTCTGACAGAGCTTAATGAGAAGGATGAACTGTTCCGTGAAGGGAAGTTATTTGAGGACTGTTATTTAAAACTACTATGAGGACAAATTATGAAATGGGCTGAACAGTATCATGGTCCTCGCCCAGGTTTGGCCTTATTCACATTAGACGAATAGAGAAGGTAAAGGTGAAACCACGAAACCAGCTTCGTGGCGTGAGTCCCGTCCTTTTGTAATGCCGCTTACTCATGCCAAAAGACCCTCAGTTTTTTGTTTTTTTTTAATCAAGATTAGTTATGTTGAAGGCTTATGTTTGTGATTACAAAAAACACTGTGAATGTAATTCCAGAGTTTTATTTCCTTAGGGAAGTTGGCAAGTTAGAATTGCATTGTTTCCTTAGCTCTGGATAAAAGCAGAATGTCTTCTTGTTTATACTAAAATGTACGCTACAGGCTACTTTTTACAAGAAGTTGGCTGCATGATTTATTTCTTGTGTCTCATACGATGCTACTTAAAAGCTCTATAATTTCTGTCTACAACGTAACTCCATAAGGCTCTTCTCACAGATCCCTTTGGGGGAACCAAAAGGTTTGAAAGAAGTCTCATTTTATCAGTGTGCTCCAGGATAGAGAGCAGGATTTACAAGCAAAGATTAACTTTGGGCCACCTTCTCAAAACCTGAATGCTTAATCTCTTGGTGAAAAGCAATGGAATTCCAGAGAATTTACTGAAAACTGAGCTTTGGGGCCCAGTTCTCATCCTACCCACATCCCTGGGACAGATCCAAGTGGAAAAGTCCTAAAGAATGGCCTTGTTTTGCTCAGCTCCAAACACAAAGCAAACTATCCGTAAGCATTTTGTGCTGCGCTTCTCCATGGGAAAGCACGCCTTCCCGAGTATCACTGCAGCCCAGCATTCTGTCCGCCTTTTGACACACATGGAGGGCTCACTATGCTCCCGGAGCTCCATTAGAGAGACACCCACATCTGACTGAAATCAGCAAAAATAACCCATCAATTAAATTCCCACAAGGGGCTTGTTTATTTCTAATAGTATCCCCTGATTTTTTAAAAAAAGCCATAACTTCCCCTTAGGAAGTTTAAGCGTGAAATGCATGCTTCTTTACCTACTTTAGCAAAGAAAGCCCCAAAGTATAAGTTTGGCTACTGCTTTTGAAAATGTCAATCAATACAGCATATCAATACTCTAAATCTTCCTGTGGATTAAGAAAGTACATGATAGGTAACATTACAGCATATCTCATATACCTCACTTAATCATTCAAATAGTTTTAGAGCGATGGCTATATTATATAAAAGTAATACTCAGAAATTAAGGCAAACTTACAATTTCTAAAATTACTCTTTCCAGAATTGCTTTTCCTCCTTTTTTCTACTAAATCACTTAGCATTACAGTGGTGGTTACCCCCAAATTCCAAACTGTACGAACTGAGAAAGGCAACAAAAGGGGAGCTGGCTGACTGGTTGCTGGTGTGGGTTTCCTGTGAGTTACAGATGTATGCTTGGTCTTAAACATGGCTTCTTACTTGTATTTTGTCTTCTTGCTCTTCTAGAAAAAAAACAATCCAAGATGACTGTCACTTACTCCAGTAAAGTAGCCAATGCGACTTTTTTTGGATTTCATAGGTTACTCCTCAAGTGGAGAGGCAGCATCTACAAACTACTGTACAGGGAATTTATTGTTTTTGCTGTTTTTTACACAGCAATAAGTTTGGTGTACAGGTACTTTCCTTTGCATGTCTCCTTAAGTGGCCATCAAATATCAAGTGAGAATACAGTCTCAGAAATCTGAGCCCTGCGGTTGCCGCTGACCTTTGTGCGTACGTTAACTTCCTTTGCATGATCCTCTCTGTGGCCTCCTTCTCCCAGGACAGGACAGTTGAACCCACACCCACCATTTTTAGGATGTTAAATAGACTCTAACCATCATGTTCAAGTGGTTCTCATTCCAGCCCCACATAAAGTGATCATGATGAGCTGCTAGTCGTGGGTCAAGCATGTTGCTATAGGCACAGAATGGAAGAGTTATACTTAGATTTTCGCTACATAGTGATTTTGAGTGGCAAAGTCTACAAATGAATAATTATGTGTGCCTCTCTCAACTGTGTCCCTCGTGGTTTGAATTTGTGATTTGACAGCGTGTAGCAACTACCTGTGTAACTGGCATGTTTGCAAATAATGTCTGTCAGGCATACACACCTGATACAGGCGCTTTCCTTTCTTTTGCCTGGAGTGACAAGATCCCCTCCAGGATGGTGCCCACCAGCCTTACCACAACCCAACTAAAGAAAAGTCCTGAAAACTATGTAATTCTCCTTATATCTTCTGAGGTTGGGGTATGTCATATTCACAAAAGGAGATGATATTTATTCTTCATAACCACAACTTATGCCTGTCAGACTGACAGAAAACTTGAGCAATATTATGTCCAAGAAATCTTTTTATGAATAAAAATTCTACTTTGCAAAGAGATTTTATTTATTTATTTTTAGAGAGAGGGGAAGGGAGGGAGAAAGAGAGGCAGAGAAACACTGATGTGTGACAGATACATCAATCAGTTGCCTCTCCCATGTGCCGCAGTGGGGGACCAGGCCCACAACTGAGGCATGTGCCCTGACCAGGCATAGAGCCAGCAACCTTTCACTCTGTGGTACGATGCCCAACTGAGCCACACCAGCCAAGGCTAAAAATTATATTTTTAATAAAATTTTATCAGCATTATAAAAGAGAAGCTTTATGAGTTTTTTTAATTAAAATTGGTTGCATACATTTCTTCTCTGGGGAGGAATTAAAACTTAAAATAGAAAGCTAAAGGTTTTTGAGGCTGTATTTCCACCTTTTCTATGTACATCCGTTTGTTATTCTCCTTCTGCATACAAATGAACAAATCTGAATAGCATTGCTCTCACCTACATTCTTCTTTGCAGCAACAGGGCCCCATCTGAAGATGAGGGATGTTAATCTGGTTGACTGATCATTATCAAAAGCAGAATAGAAAGATCTACTTAGCTAAATATCAAAACCGCCATTCCAAATAAATGTATATATGGGTATATATCTTAGCAAAAAGTCTTTAAATAGAATTTTTATTAAAAACCTCTAATAATTTTTCAGATCTGTCTTACAATACTTGTTGACAACTTATTTATGGGTCACCTAATCCTTCAAAATACAAGACGGTGGAAGACACGTGATGTCGTCTCAATTTATTTGTACTAATATGAATTTCTTGCTGCTACGGCTGCTTAGGACAGAATAGCCCCCAGAGCAGTTGCACTGTGGCCGGAAAGGCTCAGTGGGGCTTCAGCTTTTGCTCCACTATCTTATGTGCACCCCACAAAATCATACGTGCGATTTTTGTAAAGGCCGAAGAGTGCTTACACTTATAATAGTAGCCATTATTTAAGTCATTCTTCATTTTCTGAAGTCTAATTGTAAAAGCTTGTTAAAACAGATCCTAATATCTTGATCAAAGGAATACCGAGAACTATAGGCTGAATTTTTCAAGTCAAACCTGCGTAGAAAAATGTAGATTTAGTTTCGGTCTCACGTCTACTGATGCCCTAAGTTCTTTTGGTCCTATTAAAAGTAACAAAATATATTTAGCGAAAATCGTAAGACAGCACAAGAATTCATTAATTGGATTGTATCTCTTCCCATTTGTTGTATGGATTTGACAAAATAATTGCTGCACTTACTTTCTAACTAGTAAAATTTCTATGTGTCCATTAGCTGAATATTTTTCCTTTGGCCAATTATTAATAATAACAATCACTTTGTTATTAAGTACAATACCCTATGTTATGTTGTTTTACATAACATATTCTTTAATCTGTACCACATCCCTGATGCACTGATGTTATTATCCCCATTGACACACGAGACACAGAGGCTCACAGAGATTTAAAAATATGCTCAAATTCTAAATCTGTAAGTGGGAGATCTGGGATTCAAACCCCGCTTCCCCTGACCCTGTGGTCTGTGCTGTCCACAATCAAATCCTCCCCAACAACTTCTATTTGATTATCGAAAGCCACTCTGGCTGTAACTGTTCATCAGCATGACCCTGACAGGACTGTGCAAACAGGTGATGCCTCCTTGTCGGCTTTTCCTGACTCCCAAACTGCTGACACCTCCTCCCAAGCTGAGGCAAGAACTCCAAGCCCACCTCACACCCTGTACCCCGCACCCTGTCTTCGTGGGCACCAGCTCCCATTTCCTCATCTGCGACCTGAGTGTTGGCTCACTCTTACCTCATTATCCCTCTGCTTCCTTTATCAAAGTCCTACTGACCCAAATAGGCCTTCGGTCTATGTTAACAGGGATTTTTCCAAGGGAGTCCTTTCTCCTCTGGAACAGCTACACTCATTCATTGATGCGAATTCATCTCTGTTGCTTTGCTTTCCAGATTTTGATCATTATTATTAACCCGCCTTGAGACATTCCTTCTGACTCTGAATCTCCTCCCTACAACAGAAGTATCCAGAATAGTTTTAGTAAATAAATTTATGTTTAACAATACTGTGAAATGGATTTGGGTCAGACCTATAATATAAATTTTAATATTTATATTATATTGATATAAACCCACCAAATATAATAGTAAAAATGTCCACTTCTAATTGTTATATCTCTTATATTTTAAATAATTGCAGGGTTTTTAAAAGTTATAATATCCCTTGAAAAATAACACAGAAAATCAAGAATTTGCTGAGTAGCATATTCAGGAAAAAGTAAGATCAGGATGTCAAATTCAGGGCTATTATTTAATGATAACTTAATAACTGTAATCCTCCTAATCGAGACACTCCTTTTTCCCTTTGAGTACACCTGATGAATGATTGAGAAACAAACTCTTTGATGAAGTATTGTGCTTCAAATCCAAAGTGTTAATCATATAAAAGTTTAAAAATATAAAGTATTTAAAAATAAAATGTTTAATGAATCTGTCTAATGGCCAATAACAATTATGCACTACCAATGTTAGTACTTGAAATATTCAACTTTTGAGATACACCAACTTAGAAGAAAAAGTATCGCTCCTTAAAAAATTATTTGTGCTTAATTGTTTGCACTGAATATCACTTGCAACGCAGGTGAAGAAGTATAATATCATAAAGGGCTGTGCATTTTATTTTTGCTCCAGATTGTTACTTACAGGAGCCCAAAAACGTTACTTTGAAAAATTATCAATTTACTGTGACAGATATGCTGAACAAATTCCAGTAACCTTTGTGCTTGGTAAGTATAGGTGACTCGCAGGCTGCCGGCACGCAGCTGTCTCCGTCCGGATGACGCCGATGACTGCATGGGAATGCTTCCGAGCTGCGAGGCATGGCCGCGAAGCCACTGCTTGCGATAGAACAAAAACCGTCCATAAGGTTCGCCTTCAGGGCTGCTTTCGCTACATTAACACCAAACAAGTTTGAGGTAACAATCTGCTCTGGGACGATGAAGCTTTCTCTTCACTAACCCTCCACTTTTGCTGTCAATATGTGAGTTCTAATAGCCGCTTACTGGGTGCCACGGCATTGCCAGGCACAAACTACATTTATTTTTCTGGAGGGCAAAAAATCATAAGGTATGGATAACAACATATTTTTACACCCCAATCCCAAAAAGGCTAAAATTCTGCTAAAAGCATCAGTGTTGACGTGTCTGCTCCAGGACATGGCTTTATAGTTTTCCTGTTATTCTGCAGGGTTTTATGTCACTCTGGTAGTGAACCGGTGGTGGAACCAGTTTGTGAACCTGCCCTGGCCAGACAGGCTGATGTTCCTCATCTCCAGCAGTGTCCACGGCAGGGACGAGCACGGGCGCCTGCTCAGAAGGACCCTGATGCGCTATGTCAATCTCACATCCCTGCTCATCTTCCGCTCGGTGAGCACCGCCGTGTACAAAAGGTTCCCAACGATGGACCACGTGGTCGAAGCAGGTACGGTGAACCGCCTTTCCTTCCATGGGCACCCCTCAGCATAGATGGGGACGTGCCCCCATTCCTTTGAAAAATTCCTTTTATTTAGGTATTCGACCAGAAACGTTTTTTGATTACCTACTATGTGCCAGAAACAGTTTTAAGAGGCAAAAATGAGTAAGGCACGGTTCCTGCCCTCAAAAAGTTTACTTGGGGGAAAGGAGCGGCAGCAGTCACATGGCCTTTAGGTAAATATAATTATTATAACATTTATTTAAACCATCTATAATATTTTCTTACATTCTCTACCCCTTCACAGTTTGTTCATTTTCATAAATATTATTTCCCCTGGACCTTAAAAAAATTAGAAAGGAAGGAAACAGATTCGGAGAGCTTATGATCTGTCTGGGGCCACAGAGTGCAGTTATCATTCAGGCTCAGAACTAGACTGATACTTTTCCCAAACGTAGGACCCAGTGGCGTGGGTTTTTATCTAGGCAGACCCTGAGAGGGGGCAGTGACAGGCCGCCTCAGTGTGGGTCTGCTGTCCCTCCTCTCCCTCAAAGTGGACACAATTATTCTCTCTGCGCTGCTCCACACACTGTGCTGAGCACTGATGGTGTTAGAAGGATGATCCTCCTCGGCGTGTTAGTGTTCAGTGAAGAAGCTGTTAGTTAAAGCAGCCTTCAGTGGGGTGAGGGTTAAATGACTTTTGCCAGGTGCTTGTTAATAGATCGAGTAGCTTGTTGAAAGGGCTTAATGAGTGTGGAGAAGATAAAAGAATCATGTGACGATTCCATCTTTACATTGAGTATGCTCTCAAAGTAGGTTGTTCTATCTATTCTCTTCCTCTGAAATGTCCTTGGAAGTAGTTGTTCTTTACGAATAGTATTTTTTGTTTGTTTTTGGAGGGCTTTTTTCCTGGCTTTTCTTTGGTTTGGCTTTGCCTTCTTAGATGGACAGTGTAGACAGTGACTGAGACTCAGAGAAGGAGTTCAAGTTCTTACCCTTCCCCTTACTCACTGGCTACATGATCTTGGATGAGTTACTTTCTACACTTCAGTTCCCTCATCCACAAATTAAGTTTATAGTAATTTATAATACCACCTATTTCATATACCTCATTGGCTTGTTGTGAAGATTTATAAGTTCACATTTACAAAGGGTTTAGAGACATGCCTGGAGCATGGTAAATGTTACATGAGTTCTTGCTAGTAATACCAAAATCATCCAGGACAGCAGTGTGACACAGTCCTTTGGTCACTTTAGAAGACTCATTTGCTGTGGCATCCCAGGTCTTCTTCAACTAAATGACCAGAAAGTTGGGGAAGTCAAGGTAGAACTAAATCAGGAGGGGTGCAGAAGATACTGTTGGGGTAATAGATGTGAGAAAGTAACAAGGTACAATGAGTTAGTTAAAAAATTCAGGTGGATGTCAATAATGGCCTGGCAAATGCACAGATATAAATGTATTATGCTATAAAACCAGTAGGAACTTCAAACAAAGTAACTACGACACCTCTTCCGAATTTAAAAGGTGAATACTTCTTTAGAATGACCAAGTTGAAAATGCTACGTGACAACTTAATTTTCTTACCCTAATATCTATAGGAATCAAATGCAATAAGAATTACTACATCTGAAGAAAGACCTAAAAATAAACCAGAAAGGTTAGACCCATTCCGAAGTGATGAGTGAGAGCTAAACTTTACTTGGAAGAATAAAGGTGATGTTTCTCTAGTCCTGATGCATCCTTGAAATGAAGGGAGTGCATTCTGACAGGAACCAGACACCAGGCCCAATTCTCAGAACAAATCCTATCCTGTTGGCATCACCTTCATATTAAAAGCAAATCACGAGGAAGCCAGCATGGCTGGTGATGGAGCGGTCAGTGTGAGAGGGGGGCCTTCATCAGCCCTGAGCTCCGGAAGGCTGAGCTGTATGCAGGTGCAGGGGCAAGTAGGGAGGGAGAGGTGAGCAGGAGAATGACAAGATTGCATTTCCTTTAGGTGTAAGTTTTATAATAACAAAGCTTATTCCCCATCAAATTTGTGCAAATGCTCGTCATGTACTGTGTCTATCCATTTTTGCTTCCTAAGGCAGCTGGAATATTGGAATATTGGAATACCCCCCCTGATGCTCAGGGGGTTAGAGCATCATCCCGAACCTGCTCCCGTCAAGGTGCAGGTTTGAGCCCCAGTTAGGGCACATACAGGAATCAACCAATGAATGCATCAATAAGTGAAACAACAAACCAATGTTTCCCTCTCTCCCCCCACCGTTAAAAATAAAAATGAAATAAAAAAAAAGAAAGAGTGAATTCAAGGTTTCAGCCATGCTAGAAGCTCCAGAATTATAGAGGGGCTTTAGGGCAGCAGTCTGGTCAGAGACTACTGCCCAGAGGATTGGAATCAGACCTGATTAAACACACAAGTATCAGTCTGTGCAAAGGCTGAAGGAGGAAAAGAACTGAGGGGGATTGAAGGGGGCTGGAGCCTTTGCAAGCACCCTCTGGGGTCATCACTGATTATTGCAGGAAAAGGGTCCCTACTGCTTTCTTTTCACTCCTAAGTGTTTTCTTGCAAGAGCAGGAATAAGGGCAGTGAAACAGCCTGCCTCACTGCCAAGGGCAGGTTTGTGTGTTAGATGGCAGAACAAAGGTTTCCAGCCATGGCCCTTGAAGCTGAGGGAGCCACTTCAGAGCGGGGTTCTTCCTGGCTGCTCCACAGTCAGCCACGTGGGTGGGCCCCTCTCTGTGCAGGGGCAGCACTGGCTCACCTGGCTTCTTGCTTCTTTCCCCAGTAGAGAAGGCTGACTCAGTCTGCACGTGGGGGCAGAGTGTGACTCCGACACTCTCTGTCTTTTGCCAGTGTCAAAAGACACTCTTTGTGTCCGTGTTTCTGGGAAGAACAGGAAGTCCAGGGATGGAGTTAAATATTTGGCAGGTCCCCTGAGCCCAGAGCCAGGACACCTGCCCTGCCGGAGGGTAGAGAGGGCCAAGAAGTAAAGTTCAGGGGCACCAAACTGGTGAGGGCAAAGGCAGGACACAAGGGTAAGGGCACAGAAAACACCCCTTGTCAGGTGATGCCCCTACATAATATCACTTGTCTGGAAAAGTACCTGTTCTCAAACTTCAAGTGTGCATTAAATATTACTAAAAATAAATATTGCTAAAAATGTAGATTCTAAATACCACCCTGGAGGTTCTGGTTGAGTAGGTCTCGGGTCAGTGAGATCTAGGCTTGTATATTCAACAAGCTTCTGCATTCTTTGAGGCAGCTGGTCCCTGGATCCCACTCTGAGAAACAATGGGCTTTAAGATAACTGGGGTTTCCCTCCAACCTCTACTTGCTTCAGGGAGGGTCCCTGCCACGGAGATTCCAGGCTGGCCATGAGGAAGTAAGTGGGAGCACAGAGAGAATGAAGAGCAGTGTCTCCTTCTGTAGCAACTGGCAGTCGCAAGACTAAAGCCTGATGAGCTAGGGGTCACTCACCTGGTAACCCTTAAACTTTGTTTGCTTGTAAGCTGGATGGTCATGTTATTTTACTCTGGTAAATCAAAAGGACCAAAATGCATTCAACTGGGGGAATACATATGCTTTGATGTTACAGGTGAAATTTCTCAATTTAAAAATAAAAGTTTTTCATTTCTGCTCACAGGAAAATAGAAATATAACAATTAAATGCTAAGTAATGTCTATCATGCTAAAAGTTCCCTGAATTGGACTGTTGTCAAACAGTTATTTAGCAGAAGAATGGCAATACAGTCACTGTCATCTTGCTTATTGGCTACAAACTTGCCCTGGAAAAATGCAATAATTCCAATCACCTGCCTTGGAAGATGTCACTCACCCAAGTCACGTCAGGTGCACAAGTCCAGATCTTTGCTAATTCAAGTACAACCTTAATCGGGTGCTTACATTATAGCATGACACTGAATTGAAATACTTTATCTAGTGTTTCACAGTGATCAGGAGAAGAAAAGGTTTCTCTTCAAAATTTACTCACCAGGACACAAAGATGGACAATGAGAAACTATATACATTCCTCTAAAAAATTACTGAAGCTATTGCTAAATCTGCCATGTGTTGTCTCATTCTGCAAAGATTTATTGAGTGTATACTACATGCCAGGGACTGTGTTGGGGCCTAGAGCACAGCTGTAAGCAAGGACAGAAATGGCTCCTGTCCTCAAGGATCAGTAAAAATTAGTACAAATCCTTGCTTACATGGATCATTTTCAGAGATGAGCACTAGTCACAGGTAATTGTACATCTCTGTATTGCATTTCTATGTCTCTAAAATAATTTCTTTTTGTGTCCACAAGAATGGTTAGAATATAGTAAAATTTAAGGAAAGGGTACTCTTTACTTTTCCTAAAGCCCTAGAATCTTTACATGAATTTCCTTGAGGTTCTTCTCTGACTAGAAAGAGCTTGATGAAAGCTCCGTGATGAGAATATTTGTCAGTGCTTATCATTAACAAACATGAATACAACTAAGCAAGCTCCCAATGGTCAGGTGGCTATTGAGATAAAAAAAAACTCTGACTTTAGATGCTCTGGCTGGAAGGCTAGCCCCATTCGAGATTCTGGCATATTTAGATCATTTAATCTGTGACTTTCTCTCTCTATATAAAATCAAATGGATTTTGTGGACTTTCTGCCCTGTGGTCTCCAGTTCAAGTTTTTCCTGGCATGTTGCATGGTTCTGGGGCATCTTAGGCTCTTTGAAATCTCCCACTGCTCTGTGTCCCAGGAGAGATGAACAAGGGGACCATAGTATTCACAGCTGTGCCAGGTCTTCCTCTGTTGGCTGAACTTTTACAGGCTGAGTCAGTCTCCCTATAGTCTCACATGATGAGCCCAAAACAGACAGAACGTCATCCTGTGAGTGAAACCTGACTCACCTGTGCGCACTTGCATTACACAGGAGAGAAAATGCACAGTAGAACCAGCCCTCCCTGAATTAATGCCGTGCATGGGCAGTCTCAGCTGGTCAGCGTTTGAAGGCTCCCCACAGT